CCCCCCCCACCCCCATTCCCCTCCTCCCAGGCCCTTGTAATGCCTGCCATGCCTAATTCCTCCTGTAAAGGATGGGCAAAAGGACTTGAGGATGTTTGGGGAGACCTTGCAGAAAGGCTCCCCTGAGATGGTACCTTTTGCAGTGAGCTCGGTCAGACCACACACTTGTGTTGTTGGGCAGCTTTCCTAGGGGCTGGGGGCACACTGGAGGCTTATTGTTTAGGAGGGCTTGCTTTTTTGGTCTCCGCTCAAGCGAACGTGTTTGCGGCAAAGAAATGCTGATTCAGTCTTGGACCTTTCCTGAAGGTGGCAGCATTTTCTTATGCAAGGCCGATGCCTGAAGATCAGGATGAAACCGCCCCCCCTTGCTGTAAGGAATGCCTCCTGAAAAGCAAGGTGTCAACTTGCCTTAGCCAAAACTGGGTCTGAAATATAGTGCCCTACGCCTTTCTTTCTCCGATTCTGCACTAGGTATTTGGCAAATCAGCAACATCCAGGTTTGCTGAGGAAGGAAGACTTCACTGTAGCTGGTCCCCTTTTGTTTTTGAATCTGTTGGCTTCAGTTAAAGCTAGGCATTGTCCTGGACAATGCTTTTCCCATTTCTGCTTAGAAAGGAAAGCGTGGGACAGCAGAATGTCAAAGAGCTGCCTAATATGGGATTTCTGTAACTGTGTTCAGCTGTGGACTAGTTAAGGTTGCAATGATCTTCAGACACTACTACTTACTAATCGACCATGGGGAGCTTCACAGAAGTGTGGCTGTGGTTCTTGTTTCCACCTCAACACAAAATATAAATATTTGTTATGAGATTAGTATACTTGTTACGAACTATGACTAAGAAATAAGGCTGTAATCACAAGGAGAAAATGGTTGGAAGTGCATTCCCCCCCTCTTCACACGGCAGATAAGAAAAAGGCTAATTCACTTGAATAATGTTTGGAGTTATATTCCAGTGTACTTCCATATATACATTTCCTTGAGGACACAAAACAAATTTTGAAAACTCTCTTGTTGGCAAATTGAATCTTATATGCATAACTAGATAACTACAGCATCACAATAGTTTGCATGTGTGAATGGGCCATCGCAGAACACCTCAGGAAGAACTTCAATATATCTTCATCACCATTACCTTGAGAGTAATGTTTTTTTGTAATCAAATCCTTTCATATATACCCAGCTTCCATTTATTAGGGCAGTAAGCAAAGAAATAGTGCTGCACATATGTGTGGATCAGGCCTTAGATAAAGGCATTCTAGATTGGTGTTCGAATTCAACTACTTGTGATCTTATACATTAGGAAAATATGTTTTCCTGCTTACCTGCTCCTGTTGTAGTTGAGTGTAGTTGTAGGAGACTACTTGCACCAGACTGTGGATGGGATAAGTATCTGAATGTTCCCAGATATCACTGAAAACAATGAGGTACATATGGATAGCTGAAATTTGCATCTGGATGCAAATTGATTTGCAATTCTCAGTCTAGATAAGGAGATCAATATGTTGAAGATACTTCTTTGTGAGAATTTCCTTAATCTTGATCAGTGTGGAGGTTGAGCAACAACCCTTTAAATATTTCACTCAGGGAAGAAATAATGTAAGCCAAGGCAGACTTTGATCTTCTGAGTAGTCTCATGGTTGTTAACATACATTTCACCCATTTGCTGATGTTAAACTAGAATCATTAATAGAGAAAAGTCATGCTACATGGATGTTCAGAAAAAGAAGGAAATGTGTGCTCTGTGCATTAAACAGGGCATAGATAGCTGAACCCTTTAAAGCTGCTTTAGACAGACCTGATTTCCTATATATGATACAGGAAATGGCAGACTGCTTAACCTACAAATATACTGTCTTATGTGATGAATGTGTGCATGTTGGTTTCATAATCTTATAGATGTCATGGGGGGCTGTGACTGATGATATTTTTGGGAGGTACACACAATCTTCTACACCATTAGACTTCAACTAGTGGACTTATGTTCCTAAACTATTGACAACATTATCCCTCAGATGGGCTGTTACTAGCAGTACCCGTGCACTTCAACATTTTAAAAGATAAAGGTAGCGTAGGTATGAGTGCATGTGTGTGTACAGGCGAAATTATGGATGACAGTTAGAGAGAAAAGGTTTTGCTTCTTTTGTGGCTATCACCACATGGGATTACTTTACCACAGGGATTTTGTTGCTTGCTGGTGCACTAGTGGCAAGCCCTAAGTAATTACAATAAAGAAGCAAATGTGTCTATTAGGTGTTGTGCCAAGGGTACCCATACTTCTATGTTAGGGGAAAAAAGCAAAGGGGCTGGCTGTTTTACCTGAAATGGTATTAATACAGTTATTATATTATTGTATAACCACAACATTTGCAAAATAAAATACAGAGTGTGTTTTGCACTTTAGTTGTGAATGCATCCAAAAACATTATTTTACACTTCCTTCCTCTGAATCTATCTCCCCCAGTAGGTATGTGTATAGGGGTAGAAGCTCTTGCTATGTGATTTTTTAAAAAAAGAATTAAAGACATGACAAACATTAGATCCTGTGTTCAGTCCTTTGTTGCTGCTGTGGATTAAAGATGGGTTCTGTGCCTGAAGATATGCTGAGGTGATAGCCATTTAGAAAATGTCAAACAGCCTTTTTTTAAAAAAGTCAAAAACTACAAGTGAGCTGACCATGGTGCTAGTTCTGCCAGGCCTATAAATGCAAACTGGCGTCCCTAGCAGCTGTAGAGGAAGAATAGGTTGTAAAAATATTGCTAAGGTATTTTGATTTCATTGTTATAATACAAAAAAATTCACTGATTTTTGTTAATACAGAATACTGGGGAAATTATGTTTCATTTTTTAAAGCTGCCCTGTTACATCTAAAGAATGAAAGGCTGGGATAAGAGAGTGATATGATGGTAAAGAGGTGAAATGGAAAACACTACAGTATTCAATCTTTTCTTCAGCTATCAGAATTGGAATTCTTTATGTTAATAAATTAATTAAAACACTTCCTCGAAATGTGACAGGATCTTCTAATGGCTAGGTTTGTGGCTTGGCAAATTCTGAATCACAGTCTATAGCTCTGTGAATACTGGTCTCATTAATAGAATGTGTGCTTTGAGTTTAAAGAATTTGTGTTTGGTTTATGAGTCATCAGGTCCAAGAGTATGATGTAGCAAGGATATTATGAGATAGTTACTACACAATACATTTGGCAGTTAGCCTTTGAATATGGGACTGATAGAAATACTATGTTCACACAGATCTTTTCATAGATCTTTAGTTTAGTCCCGTAGCAACTTCAGCAGCAAAATACTGTATTGTATTCATCTTCTCAATGTCAGCTCTATTCATCTAAGGCAGGGGTAGGCAACCTAAGGCCTGGGGGCCGGATGCAGCCCCCCAAAGCCTTTGGACCAGCCCCAGGCCGGTCCTGCCGCTGCCGCCGCCGCCCACCATGATGATATTGATTATTGTTGTTATTACTTGTTCTTGGGGTTTTCTTGGCAAAATCTCTACAGGAGTTTTGCCATGGCTTTTCTGCGGCTGAGAGAGTGTGCATGCATATTTTTAATTTTTTTTTATTTAAAAAAAGTTTAAAAATATTTATTTATTTATTTATTTATTTATTTATTTATTTATTTATCTTTGGCGCTTTGGCCCCCCCCCCCCCCCAATTGTCTGAGAGACAGCAACCCGGCCCCCGGCTCAAAAAGGTTGCCTACCCCTGATCTAAGGCAAGGGTTCCCAGTCTTCAGTCCTCCATTTGTTTTGGACCTCAGATTCCAGAAGCCCCATCTAACTTGGCCAACAGTCAGGAATAATGGGAGATGAAGTCCAGAACACTTGGGGGACCAAAGACTGGGAACCACTGGTCTAAGGCAATGGGGCAAGCAGTGTCTAGTGCTCTCTGAGACAGTTCCTTTCTCTGGAGAAGTGGGAGCCATATAATTTTCCTTCCCAGAAAGTGCAAATAGATATTTGGTGAGAGGACATGCAAAAGAAGAAAGGAGCATGCTAGTTCTTTCTCTCATCTGATGGAGAAGCACAGTGCTCTAAAGCAAGGCTGTTTTGCTGGCAGTTCAAATCAAAAGTTGCTGCTCTGTATGCATATTGCTTAACTCTTACTTACCTCATGCACATTTAAATAGCCTAAATTTTTGCATGATTTGTAGCCAGGGTCTTTTAAATTTTATACAGGAAACATATAATGTGAAATAAAATAATTTTTAAATGGTTGTGATACGCTAATATTTTCAATATAGCATTTGTATTTGAGGTCATGAAACATCAGTTGATTACATCCATCATTTAAATTAGTTTATTTTATCTTTTTAAAACTTCCTACAACATTTATACAATGGTGTTCATTGGCCATGGGGGGCAGGGTAAAAAAAATATATCACTCCTACTAGTCAGAGGCATTAATCAAATGAATTGAGGAAATAAATAGTAATTCAATGAAAGAAGTTTAATTTATCAGCACACTGGAAACAGAATTTGTAATCTTAATCTGGTAAGCAAACTTGTTATGCATTTAGTTACAAATACTACTATGTTTTTAATTAATTG